CCTGTACTTAAATTCTGGGAGGAGAATTAATACCTTTGCTACGCAGTCTTCCCGTTCGTGAACATTCTATGTCTCCATTTATCTACATCTTCCTTGATTTCTTTCATCAGCATTAATTTTTAGCATCCACGTCCTGTGCATGTTTTGTTAGATTTCCACCTACGTTTTCGTGTGTGAGTGATTGTAAATGGTATTATAGTTTTGGTTTCAGTGTGTGCATATTCATTGCTCATACGTAGAAACACGGTTGATTTCTCCATGTGCGTCTTGTATTCTGCAACCTTGCTGAATCCCTTATTAGTTCTAGGAGTTTTTATAGATTCCTTGGGATTTTTTTCCCTCATGATCTGCAAATAGGGACAGCGTTAATTTTTCTTTCTGATTTGTGTGTTATTTCCTGTTCTTACCTTATTGCACTAACTAGATCTTCCATTACTATGATGACTAAGAGTGGGGAAGAGTGAACATCCTTTCCTTGTTACTGGTCGTAGGAGGAAAGCATTGAATCTTCCACTGTTAAATATGATGTTTGCAGAAGCGTTTCTGTAGATGCAACTTGTCATGCTGATAAATTCCCTTCTATTACTAGTGTCTGAGAGTTTTTACTGTAAATGCATGTAGAAATTTGTCAAATCCTTTTTCTGCATTGATTAATATAATCATGTGTCTTTGCTTCTTTAGCTGTTTAGTATAGTGAGTTACACTGATTGAATTTCAAATATTGAACAGCTTCACATCCTTGGAATGAACCCACTTAGTCATGATGTATAATTATTTTTATATATTGCTGAACTCTATTTGCTTATTTTGTTAAGGATTCTTGTATCTATATTCCTGAGGGATATTGGTCTATATTTTCTTTTTTTGGTACTGTCTTTGGTTTTAGTATCAGAGTAATACTGGCGCCATGGTTTGGATGTTTGTGTCCCTGAAAAATTCATGTTGAAACATAATCCCTAATGCAACAGTGTTAACTAACAGACGGGGTCTGTAGGAGGTGATTAGGCCATGAGGTTCCACCCTCACGGATGGGATTAGTGCCCTTATAGAAGGGCTGGGGGGAGCTAGTCTGGCCCCTTTTTGCCCATCTGCCATATGAGGACACTGCATTTGCCTCTTCTGCCATATGAGGACACAGCGAGAAGGCTCCACCTTGGAAGCAGGGAGCAGCCCTCACCAGACACAGGATCTGCCTTCATCTTGGACTTCTGGCCTCTATATGTAGAAAAAATACATATATATCTATATTTAACTCAGTGGTAAGAAAATGTCTGTTGTTTATGAATTACCCAGTCTAAGGCATTTTGTTACGGCAGCTCAAACTGACTGAGATAACTGGCTTCATAAAATGAATCAGGAGGCTCCCTCCTCTTCCACCTTCTGGAACAGCTTGTGCAGAACTGGTGTTAATTCTTTAAGCGTTTGGTAGAAGTCTCCAGTGTAACCATTTGAGCCTGGAGACTTCATTTTTGGGATTTTTAAAATTATAAATTCAATTTATTTAATAGTTATAGGGCTATTCAAATGATCGATTTTATGTCAAGTTGTGGTAATTTGTGTTTTTTGAGGAATTAGTCCATTTCATTTAAATTGTCAAATTCATGTGTGTGGAGTTGTTTGTCGTATTCTCTTACTATCTTTTCAATGTCTGTAGTCATTAGTGATACCCTGTTTTACTCCTGGTACAGTAGTCCCCTATTATCTGTGGGGGATACATTCTAAGTCCCCTAGTGGCTGCCTGAAACTGTAGATAGTACGAAATCCTATACATACTTGCCTTGGATCCCTTTTCCATCTTAACTAAGCACCATCAGTTTGAGATGCAACAGCAAAACTAGCAAGAATTTATTTTTCTTTCTTCAAAGTTTCATGGATGAGTTTGTTCTTACTGTAGAGCTTAGTAATCTCAGCATACATTTTTTTTCCCTTAATTTGAGAACTTTCACCTCATCATTTAAAGGAGGCACTTTACAGCTTCCGTTTGCCATATCTGAATTGCCTGCATCACTACTCAGGTACTTTGGGGCCATTAAGAAGTAAAATAGGCTGCGTGTGGTGGCTCACACCTGTAATTCCAGCACTTTGGGAGGCTGAGGTTGGTGGATTACTTGAGGTCAGGAGTTCGAGACCAGCCTGGCCAACATGGTGAAACCCCGTCTCTACTAAAAATGCAAAAATTAGCTGGGCGTGGTGGCTCACGCCTGTAATCCCAGCTACTTGGGTGGCTGAGGGAGGAGAATCACTTGAACCAGGAGGCAGAGGCTGCAGTGAGCTGAGATCGTGCCACTGCACTCCAGCCTGGGTGACAGAGCAAGACTCTGTCTAAAAAAAAAGAAGTAAAACAAGGGTTACCTGAACACGAGCACAGTGACACTGACAGTCGATCTGATAACTGAGATGGCGGCTACTAAGTGACTAACGGGCAGCATAAATACAGCACAAATGTTGGACAAAGGGATGATTCATGGCCCAGGAGGAACAGGGTGGGATGACGTGTGATTTCATCACACTACTCAGAATGGTGCACAATTCAAAACTTATGAATTATTTCTGGAATTTTCCATGTAATATGTTCAGACCATGGTTGACTGAGGGTAACTACAGATGAGGGGGCACTACTGTATTAGTAATTTGTGTCTTTTCCTTTTCTTTGTAAGAAGTTCTTTGCTAGATGGTGTCAATTTTATTGTTCTTTCCAAAGAACCAGCCCTTTGATTAACTTTATTGTTTTTCTGCTTATGGTTTCATTGATTTCTGCTCTTATTTCCTTCCTTCTGCTGGCTTTGAGTTTATTTTGCTCCTCTTTTTCTAGAGTCTTGATGTAGGAACTTACATTATTGATTTGAAACTTTCCCTTTTTTCTAATATATGCATTTGGTGCTATAAAATTTCCTCTCAGTCCTGCTTTAGCTGTCCCACAAATTTGATTATATTTTCAGTCAGTTCAATTATTTTTTTAATTTCCCATGAGCCTCTTTGACCCATGGATTATTTACAAGTGTGTCATTTAATTTCTAAATGTTTGAAGAGTTTTCTGTTGTCTCCAGCTCCTGATGTATAATTTAATCCCACTGTGGCTGAAGAACACAGTGTGTTATGATTTCAATTACTTCAAATTTGTTTCAGCTTGTTTTATGGCTCAGGATATGGTATATCTTGGTATATATTCTGGGGGCAATTTTAAAAAAATGTGTGTTCTACTGCACTTGTATGGAGTGTTTTGTAAATGTTGATTAGATCCTGTTGTTTGATGATATTGTTGAGTTCTTTGTCTTTGCTGATTTTCTGTCTAGTTGTTCTATCAATTGTTGAGAGAAGGGTGTTGACATCTTCAATTGTAATTGTAGATTACTTATTTCTCCTTTCAGTTTCATCAGCTTTTGCTTAATGAATTTTGCAGCCCTGATGTTTGGTGGATACATAGTTAGGATTGCTATATCTTGGGTGACTGACCCTATTATTAATATATAATGTCCTTCTTTGTTTCTGGTAATAATTTTCTTTCTTCTAAGGTGTAGTTTTCTGAAATTAATATTGCTATTCTTGCTTTCCTCTAATTAATATTAGCATGCTGTATCTTTTCTTCTTTTTTTTTTTTGGGGGGATGGAGTCTTGCTTTATTGCCCAGGCTGGAGTGCGGTGGCATGATCTTGGCTCACTGCAAGCTCCGCCTCCTGGGTTCATGCCATTCTCCTGCCTCAGCCTCCCAAGTAGCTAGGACTACGGCACCTGCCACCACGCCCGGCTAATTTTTTGTAATTTTAGTAGAGACTGGGTTTGACTGTGTTAGCCAGGATGGTCTCGATCTCCTGACCTCGTGATCCACCCGCCTTGGCCTCCCAAAGTGCTGGGATTACAGGCGTGAGCCACCGCGTCCGGCCCTTTTCTTCTCTTTACTTATCAAAATGTCTCTATCATTATATTGAAGTGAGTTTCTTGTAGATAGCATATCGTTGGATCATTTTAAAAGATCGACTTTGTCAATATCTTTTACTTGGTGTATTTAGACCATTTACATTTAATGTAATTATTAATATGTTAGGACTTAAGTCTGCCTTTTTATTTTTTTGTTTTCTTTTTGTTCTGTGTTTTGTTCTCTGTTTTATTTTTCTTGTCTTCCTGTGGTTTACCTGAAGAGCTTTTAGAATTCTATTTTGATTTATCTATAGTTAATTCCTGAAGGATGTTTTCACTGTATATAGGATTCTGTCTTGACAGTTCTTTATTTTTGGCAATTGAAAAATGTGCCCGTCTTCTGGCCTCTTGGTTTCTGATGAGAAATTTGACATGATTCAAACTGTTTTTCCCCTATGGGTAAAGTCTCATTTCTCTCTCAGTGCTTTTAATATTTAAAAAATAAATATTATTTATATTTCCCTCCTGTTCCCTTGTTCCCTCCTGGAGCCAGCCCAGGTGGGCAGGGTGCCTCCCTAACCTACTCAGAGCAGGGGTCCTGAATGGCGACTGAGAGGCTACCCCAGGGTCCCGTGGCCCAGCAGGCAGGAGGGCTGCAGGACTCACTCACCATCCTCACTGAAGATGGGGGCGGTGGACAGGTAGTGGGTGATGCTGGGGTCTTGCTCGAAGGGACACTCCACTTGTTTCCAGGTGATGAACTCGCCCACCTGCTTGGCCAGCTCCAGGAATTTCTGCCAGAGTCACAGAGACACAGAATGGAGGCGCTCCAGAGCCTGGAGGTCCCCAGAACACGGAGGGGCTGGTCCTGGCAGAGACTCGCTCAACCCTCAGTGACTTTAGGAGTCTGAGGAGGAGCAGGGGGCAATAAATGAGCACGAGGGCAGCCCAGGCCTGCAGCCTGCATGGAGCAAGAGTAGACACAGTTTTATGTCATCATATTTATTTTTGTTGTTATCCTCTATGTATGGCAAGTGATACGTGTTTGTTGATTTATGGAATTATGCAAATATATTTAAATAAGTATATTTAAGTAAGACTTAAGTAATTCATGTAAGTATGATTTTATTTAAGTAAAACGTAAACACATGTATTTAATTTTTTAAAAAGCTGCCAACTTTAAACAAACAGCAGTGCACAGTTGTGAATGGCAGGGACCCCCCGATCTGCCCTGGAAGCCAGGTCCAGTCCCTCCCCCTTGCTCCCCAAAGCTGGGATCACACAAGCACCTTATAGTCTCACCTGTCCCTGGCCTCAGCTCTGAGCATCAATTCAGGAAGGGCAAAGGCAGGGGTTCCCACGCCTGGCTCTGGGCTGGCATCACCTGCCGAGGAGGATCCCAGTTCCCCGGGGCCCCTGCACTGTCTTGCCTAAGCCCGATCTTGTCCTCATCGCCTCCAGCCTGGGCTAACCTAAGCGACGAGGCGGCCTCGGACCCGCTAACCAGGCCTGTGGGCAGCATGTGGCGTCTGCTGGGGCATCTGTGAGGAGGGCAGCTCCAGGCCCAACGGTCTGGCCATGTGCTGTGGTTCCTACCTGCAGGGGACACTCACAGCCCATGGAGGGCCATGCTGCACCTCTACCCCAGCCCCTCTGTGGGCTACAGTTGAAGCCCCATCGTACACAGGGAGAGACTGAGGCTCAGACAGAGCAGTGACTGGTGACTGGCCCAGGGCTTACGGCTCCTTGGAGTTGGAGGCTGGGTGGGGCCTCACACTCACTGTGTCACCCACTGCTAAGGCCAACACTAGGGTGGGGCTGGCTCTCAGTGGGAGAAGAGCCCCCTCCTTCCTGCAGACTGGGGGTCCCACTGCTGCCTGGCATGCTCTCTCTGACTCAGTGTCTGCCTAGCTCCCCGGCTACTCCGAGACACGTGTGCTGGGTGGCCCCTTTTGGAGCTCAGGATACGGAGCCGGTCAGCCTGGCCTTTCTTCTCGGGAGCTCAGGGACTCGGGTGCAGGGACCGAGGATGGATGGAGGGATGCCCAGCCTGCTGTGCTTCGGGAGGCCTGCCAGGTGGGCTTTCGCTGCCTGGGAGGTCCAGGGAGGCTTCCTGGAGGAGGAGACACTTGAGCAGACAGCGGTGAGTGTCTGTAGAGGGAGCAGAATTCTTTGTTTTTTGTTCACTCTGGCCTTGGCCTGATAGCTTCCTCCTGCTACTCAGGGCTCTGCCTTTGGGCTGGTCCTGACCTCCAGGGCACAGCCCCTGTCACAGCACCTTGCCGGTTGTCACTGTGGGCCCATGGAGCTGCCTTTCTCACCAGCCTGGTGCCCCTGCAGGGCTTAGATGGACTCTGCTTCACCTGTGCTGGCCGTGAGGCCCAGCCTGGAGGGACATGACCCTGAGCCTCAGCATCCCCACCGCAGTGATGTCAGGGTGGGAGGACCCTGATCACCTCGCCGAGGTCGGCTGTCAATGGCTCATTCTGCCCCAGAGTCCCCCATTAGGGCAGGGGCCAGTGGTCCTGCCCTGGGAACTTTTCCTGGCCTGTCTACCTCAGTGGAGGTCCCCACGGAGGTCCTACCTCAAAGTTGACGTGTCCATTGGGAAGGCGGTTGGCACAGCCCTCATTCAGGAAGTAGATGTCTTTGATGAGCAGGCTGAAGAAGGGAATGACAATCTGGAAGAAAGAGGAGGCAGGTCGGCCCCAGCTCTATACAGCTGGCTCCAGGACAGGGGGCAGCCTTGCCAGCAGATAGCTGCCCCAGGGACCTCAGACCCGACCCCAGGGTGCAGAGGGCAGGGGAGACTTCCTGGGCTAGTCGGGGCCTCGGGGCTTCATGGGTTACGAGGTGAATTCCTGTGCACCATGGAGGGTAATAAGGACCACCAAGAAAGGAGCAGGCCCCCATCACCCTGCCGAGCGCCGTGGCGCTGCTGCCCGTCCTGGCCCCCGTCACCCTGCCGGGCGCCGCGGCGCCGCTGCCCGTCCTGGGGCTGGGTAAGAGATCACAGTCACGACGACCCTTGAATAGTCCTTCCACTGCTTTCTGGGAGGGGCTGGTAGGTCCCCACTACCCCCATCCCCATCCAAAGGTCCACAGGCTCATGTGCACCGGGAGGGGCAGTCCGGGCTGCACACACCGTTAAAGACGCATGGAACAGATGTGCATCAACTGTTCTGAAATTTGGTGGCCTCCTTTTTTTTTTTTTTTTTGAGATGGAGTCTCGCTCTGTCGCCCAGGCTGGAGTGCAATGGCGCGATCTTGGCTCACTGCAACCTCTGCCTCCCAGGTTCGAGTGATTCTCCTGCTTCAGCCTCCCCGAGTAGCTTGGATTACAGGCACCTGCCACCATGCCTGGCTAAGTTTTGTATTTTTAGTAGAGATGGGGTTTCACCATGTTGGCCAGCCTGGTGTCGAACTCCTGACCTTGTGATCCGCCCGCCTCAGCCTCCCAAGGGGGCCTTTTTTTTTTTTTTTTTAAATTAACAACTTGTCCCCCTATGTCTTTCTTGATGCACTTACTGTTAGACCAAAAGCTTTCTTGCTCCACTGCCTGCAGGAAAAGAAAGGCTGGTGGACCCAGCCTGCGAAAGGCGGCCGGCTGTGTGCAGGCCCCCACCACTCTTCATTCCTGACCTCACTGCAGTGGAGACACAGTTATGGGAGTAACCTACACAATGAGGAGGCCTCATCTGGCAAATCTTTGCTAATCCCGCTGCCGGCTGGGTTTAGCCTCCATCTGCTAAACCCATCTCCAAAGAGCCCGCTCCTTATGCCCTTATCAAGCCTGAGTGCCTCACTGCTGAGCTGCACACGATTACTTTCCATCTCTGCATGGTCCTATGAAGCAGGGCTCTTATGACCCCGCTTTATACGTGAGGAAGCTGAGGCCCAGAGAGGTTAAATACCTTGCACAGGCTCACACAGCAGTGAGCAGCGGAAGCAGGGCTGAGTCCCAGGTGCTCTGCCCTAGTGCCCCATCCTGCCTCTTCCTCACCGTGCTGGGATGAGTGGTGGCGGGGATTTGGGGGTGGTCTGTGTCTGTGCCCTCCCTCGGTGCTGCTGAGTCCCCAGTCCTGGTGTGGTGGGTTCTGGACAGCTGAACTATATTGGAATAGGGAGACGCGCCAAGACAGGGAGAGGGTTTAAGGAGTGTGGGACTCTGCACACACAGAAAGCTCCCCCGGGGCCTGGTCTGGGCTTCCTGGAGGCAGGGGCATTGAGCTGGTCCTCGAGAGGTGGCGTGTTCCATACGCAAGCACCTCTCACCCCTTCTGCCATGGCCATGCCACTCAAGGCCGCTCCCCATGTCTGACCTGGTCTCCTTTTGCCCTCACGGCAGCCAAAGAGGCCTTTGTATCTGCAAATCCGCTGCTCTTGCTTCTGACGTGAGAAGTTTAATTAGAGCCCAGGTCGGCTTGGAGGTCACCCAGATAAGTGGGCCCCGTGACACCGACAGGGAGAGGGGCAGACAGGAGCCGCCCACAGACAGGAAGGAAGCATAAAGTGCTATGACCACAGAGATCTCCCGGCCCATCAACTCAGCTGGGGCGCCAGGAAACTGTGAGCGAATCTCTAAGTGTCCCTTCCTCCTCCTCCTTCCTTCCCTCCCTCTGCCCCTCCACCCCCTCCACACATAGAGCAGCTTTTGTGGGCCTCGCCCATGACCCATCTCCCTCTGGAAGTGAGAGGAGAATGTGGTTAAAGTAAACACACAGCTCTAAGCTGCCTGCCTACAGCACCAATGCATAGCATTCCAGCACCCAGAGCCGGAAGGGGCTCAGAGCACAGGCACCCAAATCCCAGTCTCTCTACCTGCCCCACAGCCCCGTGTCCCACAGAGAGGAAGGAAGCAGTGTGGACTGCCCAGGCCATGGCTGACGGCTCCCAGCCCAGCTCGGCACCAAGCTCCTGTACACCGATTCTGCATCCAGCCTAGGCCCGTAGCCAGTGCCCTGCGACTGCCAGACACACCCGATGCCTGGGAACAGGAGTCAGCCTGGCGGTGTGCAGACCACGAGACTCACAGCCAGACAGGCTGCAGTGTGATCCTGGCTCTGCCACCTACCTGCAGTGTGACGGGACTAGTGAGCTCTCCTGCCTGAGACTCAGTCTGCGGATCTGGGAACTGGCAATGCTGATCCCCCACAGAGTAGTTGTGGGGTGTGGAGGTCCAGTGGCTGGAATGAGGCAGGTGCTCAGTGACATGAGGCTCCTGCCCCTGCCGTCTGGCTTTCTGGGCTCTGGCTCCTGGCGGGCCACCCACCTGCCCTGGGATTTGAGGTCTCACATCCCCGGGTGCTGCTCCCCTCTGCAGAGTCACTGACACACTCACAGCCTGAACAGGAAAGGCCAGCAGGACAGGACAGAGCCATTCGTGTGGCTGGTGTCTGCCCCTTGGGTGGAGGGCCAGGAAGGCCTGGCAGGTGGCACAAGCGTGCACACCTCAGCTTGCTTCCCAAACCTGCCCACTGGCATCCCTCCAGTGCAATTCCAGGGGGACCTGAATTTCAAGAACAGCAATGAGTTCTGTTATCCCTCACGCTGGAGACAGACATCCACGAACCACAGCAGGGACGTGATTCCGCTAATGTTTCTGCATGGCACGGGCCTTCGGAGGGACAACGAGTCTCGGAGTTTCCTCTCCATAGAGATGAACAACTCTGATCATCAGGCTGGTAACAGGTTTCAAGCCAGAGGATCACGGCAATCCCAGAACCAGGGCAGGATTCTCTGTACCAGAGGCCATGAGTAGAATTTGGAGGAGAAATAAAATTGATCAGGTCAGCAAAGGCCCCACAAATGCAGGTATATAAGAATACAGGCTGTGGCTGGGCGCGGTGGCTCACACATGTAATCCCAGCACTTTGGGAGGCCGAGGCAGGCAAATCACCTGAGGTCAGGAGTTCAAGACCATCCTGGCCAATATGGTGAAACCCTGCCTCTACTAAAAACACAAAAATTAGCCGGGTGTGGTGGCAGGCGCCTGTAACCCCAGGTACTTGGGAGGCTGAGGCAGGAAAATCGCTTGAACCCAGGAGGTGAGGGTTGCAGTGAGCCGAGATCGCACCACTGTACTCCAGCCTGGGCGATAGAGTGAGACTCCATCTCCAGGAAAAAAAAAAAAAAAAAAGAATACAAGCTGTAAACAGGCAGTTTGGGTGAGGAAAAAGCTTGGTTCAGTGATTGCCAACAATGCAAATGTGATCGGAGGCCACAAAATTCAAAGTATTATGTTTAGAATCAGGGAGGTGGAAGATCCTGTGTACCTGGAACCTCAATTTTATCTGAAACAGAAGAAATTTTGAAAAATGGAGCTGTCTAGGGACCAAAGGGCCCCAAGTGGGAGGAGCCTGGAAACTATAGTGTGGCAGGGCAGGCCTGGGGCCGCTGACTCAGGAGGGGAGAGGAGGGGCCTGGGGCTGCTGAAGAACTGGTGAGCAGAAGACGAAGTGGTCTCACTCGTGTGGCCCCCAAGAAAGGATGACCCCAGGCAGCCCGGCTTCAGGCCCTCACGAAGCACCTCCTATCAGTTAGAGTTGTCTGAGGCTGGCTTCCCTCAAGTTTTGGGAGGTGGTGAGCTCCCGACACTGGAGGCATGCAAACACGGAGACCTGGCTGTGTCCTCGTCTATTACTGATGCTGCAGCGGGGCAGGAGCTGCAGCAGGTGAACTCTGAGCCAGCACCCGGGTTCCCCTGCAGCCCCGCTGGGCCAACCTGGCCCCGACCCACCTTCTCTCGGCTGCTGTGGGCCGTCAGGGAGCGGTGGGCTGCCCCTCGCAGGGCTGTCCTGTAGTTGCAGAAATTCCCTGTTGGGTCCATCTGGTGCTGGAAGGAGATAGGGAGGCATTTGGGCAGCTCTGTCCAGGGGATGGCCGGAGGCACTCGGCAGCCCAGCAGCCTCATTTACCTCGAGGATGAAAAACTTGGCCGTCTTCACTTTGGCCCAGGTCTTCTTTAGCCTGGAGACAGGGCTCATGTTCATGCCAGCTAGAAGAGGGAGGGAGAGTTGGAGGGGGCTGCTTCTGGGACAGGGGGACCTCTGTTTAGCTGCAGCCCCTTGGGCTGCACCCTGACCAGGGCTGGGGGCTGCAGGGTTCAGTCTGTCACATGGTGGGTGGGTGAGGGGGTGCTGGTGGACATCACGGTCAGGTGGGTCTGCTCCCACCATGCCGGTCCCATTCTGTACTGAGCACCTGCACTGGGCCCTTGTTCTCTGCGTCTGGGGACATACCACCAAGCCCCCACCAAACATCCCGAGGGGGCTGGGCTTGCCTCAAAAGGCGCGGCTCCCCAGGACCTCTGAGGTGGGGACATGGGACTGCCCAGGCCTTCAGACAGCCCAGCCCACGCCCTCCCGCTGCTCAGAGGCGGCCCCGGCTTGCACTCTGCCTGCCTGGCTGCACCCACTCCGACCTCTGGGGGGGCCTGTGCACTGGGGACTCCAGGCCCGAGCCGGCCCACTCACAGATGATGGCCATGAGGGAGTTGAAGTTGCCGATGTTGAAGCACTCGCGGGCCACGTCGATGAAGAACTCAATCACCTGGGCCCTCTGCTTCTTCTTGGCTGGCTGGGGACAGGGCAGCAGAGCCTCAGCGGTGACACGCCTCCACCCTGCCCTGACCAGGCTCCCGTCACCCGGCCCTCTTTGCCTTCTCTAAACCCACTGCGCAGCTGGGGCACTTGAGGCCCAGGGGAAACAGGGTCTCAGAGCGCTTCATGGGCCGAGCCAGCAGAGCCCGATGCCATAGAGGGCTAGGTGGGCCCGGTGGGGCACAGGCCCTCCCTGTAGCCCTGGAGCAGGTAAGACGCACCTTCACGAGATGCTCCACGGCTCCCCTCCAGCGCCCTCCTCCCTCTGGGCCCGGCTCCCACCCAACTCCTTCCCTAAATTAGAGAGCCCCACCCACCTTCCCCCAGCCCTGGGCTTTCTCCCCTCACTGGGGTACAAGCTGGCCCTGAGACCTGTCCCTCGAGCAGCCTCTCCGCTCTCTCCATCTAACAACTGCGTGACTGGTAAACCCTTGTTTGTGGTCGGGCGCTTGGGACTTCAGACCCCTTTGATGTGCAGAACCACACCATGTCCTTCCCTGGCCATCCTGGGCCACAGCTGGCTCCCTGGGAGGCTCAGGCCAAGCAAGCTTCACCCCGGCTCGGCCCTCTCGCCTGCAGCCAGCAGCGCGAGGGTGGGAAGTGGGCTGGGCCAGGGGGGCCTGCGTTGCATTCTTTCCACACAGGTGGGTGTTGCCTGCCCACCAAAGATGCAGCAAGGGTCTTTACCGCCACCAAGAAGTGGGGTGTTGTGCTCTGAGATGTCTCACCAAACCCCCTTCCAGGGGCTGTCTTGGCCACAGAGAGCTGCCCACCCAAAGCCGGCCCTGTCCTTTGAAGGGCAGCCCGCCCTGTGATGGGGGCTGAGCCAGGTGGGGGACAGAGGCCAACCCGTGTCTGTCGCCACATTGTCGCACGGGGCTGCCTCCTCTCTACGCTCGTCCGCAGGTGTGGACCCCTCATGAACACGTGCCCCATACTCGGTCTCAGCACCTGCCCCGGAGAGCCCGGCCTGCCGCGGCGCTGCCTCCAGCCTGGCCCTGGGATGAGCGGCCCCCTGGGCTTCATCTTAAGGTGAGAGTGGGTTCAGAGGAGGGCCCCTCTGCTGCGAGGAGGAGGACGGGTGGGTGTGACCAGGGGGACTGCGACTCAGTGACAAGCACGTCTGGCTCCACGCTGCTGAGTTTTGGTGCTTTCCAGGAGCAGCTGGAACTATGGGCTTTTACGTGTGTCTCCAGTGCTTAGAGGTCAGATCACGTCCACCTCTAGGTCCCGAGCAAGCCAAACAAGGCCAGTTGCAGGCCAGGCTGCCCAAGGCAGGCCAGCACAGATGGAGAGAGCAGAGCCACTGGGGCTGCAAGTGACTGCCTCTCACTCCTTCAGCAAACCCTCTCCAACACCCTCTGTGCCTGGCCGGTGGATCTGTCCTGGGTTCTACTTGGAGGGAAATGTCACTGCAGGAAAGCTGGTGTCACCTGGAGTCCTGGAGGGGTGCCCAGCCTGGCACTGGACTTGGAAATGAACAGGACTCAAGGTGTCCTTCCGGTTCCTTCCCCAGTAGGCTCCTCCCAACTCCAGCCGCCTTGGGCTATGCCAGGTGGTGCCCACCCTGGCTGTCTACTCACCATGCAGATCTCGGTTGCCACCAGGTAGCACAGTCTGTTGAACCATTTCACGTAAGCCTCTAGGTGGCTGGTCTTGTCACTAAAGCAGGGCTAGAAAAAACACGCAGGACCACATTCTGAGCCTTCTTGTCAATCATCTTTTAGAACATGAGGTCAGTTCATGGTCCCGACGACCCGGGAAATGTCAAAACCCCCAAACCATCCAGAACTACCAAAGATTTGGTGTGTACCCTTTTAGTTTTTTTAAAAACACATTTTTTTTTTTTTTTTTTTTTTGAGACGGAGTCTCGCTCTGTCGCCCGGGCTGGAGTGCAGTGGCCGGATCTCAGCTCACTGCAAGCTCAGCCTCCCGGGTTTACGCCATTCACCTGCCTCAGCCTCCTGAGTAGCTGGGACTACAGGCGCCCGCCACCTCGCCTGGCTAGATTTTTGTATTTTTAGTAGAGATGGGGTTTCACCGTGTTAGCCAGGATGGTCTCGATCTCCTGACCTTGTGATCCGCCCGTCCCGGCCTCCCAAAGTGCTGGGATTACGTGCTTGAGCCACCGCGCCCGGCCTAAAAATACATTTTAAAATGTAACTTCACACACACATACACACACACACACACACACACACGAACCTCATTATTCCTGGATTCTGTATTTGCAAATTAGCCTCCTCTCTAAAATGTATTTGTAACCCCAAAAACTTGTGTCACTTTTGTGGTCTTCTGTACACATGCGTGGGGTGGCGCAAATATTGAAGTCGCGAGTGTCCGTGCGCTTCTCCAGCAGAGGCGAGGCAATGCTCTGTCCTCCTGCATCTCACTCTCAGACTTGGCCTACTGAGTATCGTGTCCTTTACGGTTTTGTACTTTTCGCTGATAATTTCACTGTTGAGAAAGGCCCCCGAGCATGGTGCCGAAGTGCCGTCTAGTGTTCCCACGCAGGCAAAGGCTGCTCTGTGCCTCACAGAGAAACAGTGTGTAACAGCAGCGTTCAGCCATGAGAAATAGCACTGTTGGCCATGAGATCAATATTAATCAATAATTTATATTAAATAATGTCTTTAAACATAAACACACATAAAACAAGGTGATATATGGATCCGTTGACAAAAACGCTGTGATGAGAGGCTCACAGGGAACCTAACCTTGCATTTCCCCTGGGAGCAACAGTTCTGTGCTCACTCATTCAGTGCTTTTGACTTTATAGAACGCAGCTGCTGGGAGTAATGAGCGCCAGCTGTGTGTATGCATGCATCTATCATAACCATACATATTCCCATACTTTGCTATGCAAACCTTTCCCTGTGCCATAACATATCCTTTGGAAACAAAATTTTTAAATGGATATAGAACTTTCCACTGTATAATACACCAGCATTTAAAAGATGAAACTTAACATAAATGTGTTTGTTAAAACTGCCAGGGTAGGCCAAGCGCGGTGGCTCTCGCCTGTAATCCCAGCACTTTGGGAGGCCAAGGCGAGTGGATCACCTGAGGTTAGGAGTTCAGGACCAGCCTGGTCAACATGATGAAACCCCGTCTCTACTAAATACACAAAAATTAGGTGGGTGTGGTGGCAGGTGCCTGTAATCCCAGCTACTCAGGAGGCTGAGGCAGGATAATCGCTTGAACCTGGTGGCTGAGGTTGCAGTGAGCCGAGATCATGCCATTGCACTCCAGCCTGGGCAACAAGAGCAAAACTTCATCTCAAAAAAACAAAAACAAAAAACAAAAAAACCCAAAAAACTGCCACGGTAACTTTATTTTATTTTTTTGAGACGGGAGTCTCGCTCTGTCGCCCGGGCTGGAGTGCAGTGGCCGGATCTCAGCTCACTGCAAGCTCCGCCTCCCGGGTTCACGCCATTCTCCTGCCTCAGCCTCCCGAGTAGCTGGGACTACAGGCGCCCGCCACTTCGCCCGGCTAATTTTTTGTATTTTTTTAGTAGAGACGGGGTTTCACCGTGTTAGCCAGGATGGTCTCGATCTCCTGACCTCATGATCCGCCCGTCTTGGCCTCCCAAAGTGCTGGGATTACAGGCCTGAGCCACCGTGCCCAGCAGTAACTTTCAATAAATAGAGGGGAAGATGGAATGGGAGACCTACTCATTCAAAAGAAGCAAAGAAAGGAGGAAAAGTAAACAGATAAGGAAGATAACTACATACTACAACAGAAGATAGCAAGAACAGATTCTTAAGGATTAGTGATTACAACACTAACCACTTTCAAGAGATACAACTCCAAACACAAGCATATAAGTTAAAAAAAGAAGAATATATATCTGATAAATATTATATAGCTATATTAATATTGAACAAAATAGACTTTAAGGCAACAAAAAAGATCCTAAGGCAAAAAGCTTTAGGAGAAATGAGAGAGTAATTGTGTAATGATAAAAGGTTCAGCTCATCAGGGATATGTCACAAGTCTAAACTTGATTGCAGCTAGTAACATAGGTTCAATATTTAGAGGCAACAATAATCAGGAAGGTGAAGTTCTTTATAAGGAGAAGTTGAGTCCTACAGTCACATGGAAGATTTTAACACACATGACAGTAATTAATAGGTTAGGGAGATTGAAAAAGAACAACCAAACGAAACCCAGGATGAATATGAATCTGAACAACACAATTTGAAGTAATAAACAAATAAGGAAACTTGAACTTAATTCCTTGAGAATATGCATTCTTTTCAAATGTAAAGAAACTTAAAAAAATTTTTAAAAATAATCTATGGTTCAAAGATGAAATCATAATGGAATTAGAATGATAATGAAAATGTTAAAAAATAAAACTTGGGGGGCTGTAAACAAAAATTTATGTAAACAGAAATCATCCTGCATGCTTTTATTAGAAAAGAAGGATAAAAACAAGCTGAACATCCAACATAAGCAACTAGAAAAACAATATAAATCCAAAGAAAGTAGATGGAAGGAAATAATAAAGAGTAGAGAAGAAAGAAATGAAATAGTAAAAAAAACTACAATCTACAGAATCAACAAAGTAAAAAGATCTTTATTTGAAAACATTAACAAAATTGATGAACCTTTTATAAGACTGATAAAGAAACAAAGAGAGATGTAAATAATCAAAATACTAGAGATGAATCAATGTGGATGTGAAGAAATTAAAAAGATACCTGGAGAATATTACAAATAACTTTATGTCTATAAATTTGGAAACTTAGGGGAAATGGCCAAATTCCTAGAAAAATATAAATTACAAAACAGACTAAAGAAGAGACGGAAAACCTAAATAGTTCTATAACCATTAAATCAATAACAAGAATAAACAAAGAAACAAACAAGAATAACCTTGAATCAGTACAAGAAAGTCATCCCTCAAAGAAAATACCAGGCCTAGATGGTTCCATCGGCTAATTCTACAAAATGCTCCAAGAGCAAGTAATTCCAGTCTGTCAGGAAGAACAGAGAACAGCGCAAGAGAAACAAAGACTACACAAGAACAGTGTCAGAAAGGGAAATAACCGTTCAGTCTCACATTGTAGAAATCCTAAACAAAACATTAGCAAACCAAATCCAGGGATATGTGAAAAAGATAACGATTTCATTTATCCCAGTTTTGTTTATCTCAGAAATGCAACGTTGATTCAACATTGATTAAAAAACAGCCTGGCGCAGTGGCTCACGCCTGTAATCCCAGCACTTTGGGAGGCCGAGGAGGGTGGATCACTTGAGGTCAGGAGTTCGAGAACAGCCTGACCAACATGGTGAAATCCTGCCTCTACTAAAAATACAAAAATAGCTGAGCGTGGTGGTGGGCGCCTGTAATCCTAGCTACTTGGGAGGCTGAGGCGGGAGAATGTCTTGAATTCAGGAGGCAGACATTGTAGTGAGCTGAGATCGTGCTATTGCACTCCAGCCTGGGCAACAAATGCGAAACTCCATCTCAAACTACAACAACAACAGCAGTGAAAAACTAGGCCAGGTGAGGTGGCTCACACCTGTACTCCTAGCACTTTGGGAGGCCAATGCAAGCAGATCTCTTGAGCTCAGGAGTTCTAGACCAGTCCAGGTAAACACGATGAAACCCCGTCTCCACAAAAAATACAAAAATCGGAGCTACCTACGAGAACTAAGAGATAAAGGATTGGGAAAAGAAGAAGAAGGAGCAAAGCTGTCATTATTCTCAGATGTACTGTGTCTACATGAAAAACCCCAAACTAAGTATACAGAACTCTATGTAGAATTAATAGAGATGTTCAAGTGTGTTTCAAATTTAAACGTTGAAGGTCCATCCAAAAGTAAGATGATTATATTCATGGTAAACGCAGGCAGATAAGGCAGGACAGGACATATGATAAATACACAGCGCTTGAGGTAATGAGAAACTAAGGAGTGCGCGTGTGACTCGATTTTTTTTTTTTTTTTTTTTTTGGAGAGCGGGGAGTTCTGCGGCTCTGCTCGCCCGAGCTGGGGGTGCAGTGCCGGAATCTGCAGCTCGCACTGCCAAGCGTCTGCCTCCCGGTTCAGCGCCATTCGTCCTGCCTCAGCCGTCGCTGAGGTAGCTGGGGGCGACTACCAGGGCGCGCCACGCGGGGACGCGCGCGGCTAGGATTTTTGTAGTTTTAGTAGAGACCGGGGGTGTCACGTGGTTAGCGCAGGGATGAGTCTTGAGTCTCGGGGAGCGCGCTCGGCGTGATGCCGCGCCGGCCCGAGGCGTCCGGCGGCGACGCTGGCGATTAGCGGGCGTGACGTCACTGGCGCCCGGCTCGTGTGGGCTCAGTGTGAGTTTCAAAAGATGTG